AATTAGTTTCTACCATTTTCTAATGAGGTCGATTAAAGGAATATGATTCATGTGTACAAGCTGCTGCCACAAGGACCAAAAAAAAAAAAAAAAGATCTGTGGTAATATAAAGTAAAACTTTTCCGCCATTGTTTTGTTCATCTGCTCCATAATATTGGTTTCCACTTTGATGCAGGCAAAACATGTTTCAGTGGATATGTTACTTTTAAGGTTAAAGATGCACATCTATCTCAGTTACATTGCTCCTCTTGATTAGCTATTGGCAAGATCACTGGTACCATGTAACGTGAATTTATCCATTCTTAAACAAAGTAAATTTATCAGAGCGCTAAGGCTTTTCCTTTCTTTTCATAGGTATCCTTATTGAGGGTTCGATTTGGAGCTACGGCAAAATGTCATCAACCAGCTACGTCGCAACATGCCAGGGTAAATTATCAGGTGTAGAAGCTGTTTTTCAGTTCATGTTATTACTGTTGGGGTTTGTCAGTGTATCCTACATAATTCTGTTGGTGCTCCTCATGGTCTTGTGTTGAAAAAAAAGGATGCGTACTGCTATCATCTAGCATGCCTTCTTAGCTTGTGCCAGTAGCAGTAAAAATATAAGCCAGTGTCTTTTGATTTTCAGCTTATAGTTGGTAACATTCATATATGCTTTTCAGCTTATAGCATTTAAAATATATACTCCTCTTTTTGTCATGACACCCTACCTTGGTAATAATTAACTCTTTAATACTCCCTGCCTCTTTGGACATGCAGTAGCCTACCAATGGCATAGAATTGCTTTAAGTCGGTATCCTTCCCTGCACCCCACTCATGTGGGAGCCTCCGCACTGGGTCTGCCTGGGTATCCTTGCACTCTATTCCAGGGCGTCTCCTGGAATTGTGCTCATCATTGTTAAATATTACAGTGCCAAAGTGTCTCTCGATGTTTTGTGTTCCCGAATTTTATGACCTACCTCATTCCCTGCTCGCAGCTACTTCTATTTGGCATATATCCATATGTGCTCTGATTATGCCAGCAGTCCACGAATGCTTACCACGGGCTACATGCTATGCCTCAGCTATGAATGCTTAGCGCAACCTAGGTGTGACGCCTTAGAATTAGACCGCGATATTGAGCCTAATAATGTGGAGGTTTCTTTCTTCTCAAGGTTGGCGTTATGTGTCCTGCATTTACTTTATGTTTTCTCTGATTGAATACAGCATCAGTTCTTCAGAGTTTAGCTCTGACAAAATGGCTAGCGACAACCACACAATCAAAATGTTGAACCAAATATGATACATTTTCATTGGGTTGCACATAAAGAATGTGTCAGCAAACATCTATTCCCTTTTTATTACTTGATTTTTCCCGAATATGCCCTCTGCGAGCTCATGATTTTGTTGCCAAACCCATTGTAAATGTGCTCATTTTTATTTTATTTTTTGTTCAGTTGTTTTATTTACATTCGCTGATCGCCTACACAGAATAGAAGTAGATGAGAGAATAATATGTCGCATTACATTAATCTGAAATTGAAGTAATGTATCCCCTTCCAATCATGAATGATATGAGGTCAATAGCAGTTCTTAAAATTCAATGTAGTCCTTTCGCCATTTCATTACTTTGGGGCAAAGTCTGATTGGTCTCTGGTTCTGTTCTTTCAGGTTGCACAACAAGTGACTTCGGTTTTGTCGTCAGATGCAGATTGTACATAATGTTCGTTGTTACCACATGGTGCCATGTTGCTAAAGACTTGATTTTTATCTTCCAAGTCAGCCTGCTTTACGATTTTCGCATTAGAGACTCTGCATGTATCCTAAACCTTATATTTTCTTCCATTTTCTCCGTGCTTTTTATTATTCCTTGATGGATAATCAGTTATTTTCTCACTTTTTCCCCTCTATGTTTATAGATACAATGCCATAAAATTGATTTTGATTATGGATCATCATGTGCTTCTGTCATATTCATGTAAATATCATCCACTCACAATAGTCCCTGTTACGTATGGCTTATTCAGTGCAAATGTTAAATTACAGTCCAGCCTACCCGCGGCGAAGCGCGGTGTTCCGTCTAGTATATCCATAGAAACGTACAGCGGTACAGTAATACAGTAAGAACTTTCAAAAATACAGTAGGCGAAGATGCAGGACTTTTTTTCCCTTTTACTTTTTCTTCTTTTTAAAGAAGAAACTGCACAGATTCCTGTGGCAGACTGGCAGCAACTATTTTTCTTTTGAAAGCTGAAAGTTTTGTTTTGTTTTTCTTTCATACATAGATACTCGTTCAGTCCTAAAATAAGTGACGTTTTACTTTAAGACATTTTGTTTAACCGTTCGTCTTATTCAGAATTTTTGTATAAACACCATCTATTTTGTTATGACTTATTTTATTACTAGAGATACTTTAGTAATGATTTATTTATTTTATAATTTACACAAAAAAATTGCCCTAGTTTTTTTTAATTTTGTGACTTTATCCTAGTATAAGATTTTCGGGAGATTGATGTTTTTGCCCTAGTAAGATTATCGGGAGATTGATGTTTTTGCCTCGTGTTTGAAGACTAATTATGATTTTGCCCTAGTTTTTTTTGTGACTTTATTTATCCTCTCTTTTTTTTAATATGAAACCACCATTTCCCCTAATAACCTCTAAACCGTTTGCCCCTCGTTTTAGACTTTGTTGGCCAAAGGTCGTATAAATGTATTAAAAAAAGATAAAACTAACCCTTTGACCTTATCCTAACCCTCCCGACATTCGTTGATGGCTAATTAAGCATGTATAACTTGCTAAACTTTGCTTAGATTTGAAATTTTGCTGTATTTTTTTAAAAAAAATGGTGTCAAAATATTTGATGTTAAAACAGAGGTTAAAATAATAGAGCACTCAGAATTTAATAGGGTAAATTCACATGGGAAAACTAGTTTTTTAGCTGATTTGACACCGTTAACTCCTCTAAATGCGATATATGGGTAAACTATGCCTTTGTTTAGAACAGACCATCAGAATTACAAAATTGAATAAATAAGAGTAAAATAATAATTAGACTTCAAAAAATAGGTGAGAATGTAAGAGTTCCAAGATTATTTTTGCAATAAGATGTTCACAGAAAGTCAAAACACATCCGTTATGGCAACCATAGGGCACGCTGGCACGGGCTGGCCGATGACAGAAAGTAGAGCATGTGGCGACTGGACAACTCGACAGACGACAGTTGACTACAGGGACCTCATTTGCCCCCGGCCCCAGTCTTCGGCGCTGCAACTGCAAGCAGGCAGCCACCAGCCCACTGGCCACTGCCCACCACATCGGCTCGGCGTTTAGCGAAACGCTAATGCTTGTTTTAGGGCGTCCTCCCCCGACAGCCACGCTGGCAGGCCAGGAAGTCTAGAAGGCTCTCCTGTCTATTTTTATCTATTTATGTAGCCATCGTTGTTTTTTAAAAGGGAAAAAACTCACCTTAGCGTCGTGAGCCTGCGACCGCGCTCCGCCACACATCCCGCCGCCAGCTACCTCGTCTCCACCGCGCTCCCCGCCACCTTCCTCTCCACTGCGTCTCTCACCTGCCTTCTCCATCAGATCTGTCGTGGCCTTCTCACCAGAGCGACGAGCTCCGTGCCATGAGACACTGCTGCGGGACGATGTGGCGCGCGGCTACCCTCTCCTAGTCGTACAGACGATGCCTCTCCGCCACGTTGCGAATCCGCAGTCGCCACCTACAGGGTCATCGGGCTGCTGCCTCCACGCCAACGAGCCTCCATTCTCCCAAAACAGCAAGGAGATGTTGCATTGAAAGCACATGTTGCAAATATATGTTTTCGATGTTTCGAGAGGTATATTGTAAGTGTTTAATGCGAATGTTGCAAAAGTAGATCGTAGATATTGCATATGTTGCAATTGGTTGTATACGTATGTTGTAAGTAAGTGTCATTTCCCAATGTTTCATTTGTGTTTTTAGATGTATGTTGTAAGTGTGTTTATCTCGATGTTACGAGTGTTTATCTGCATATTGCGTATGTTTTCCATGGGTTTCAAGCGTTTTTCAGGTGTGCTTTTTTCAAGGGTTTCATAAGTATGTTGCAAGCATTTGTTCAAATGTTTCATACATATGTTGAAAGTGTTGTATCTGGATGTTTCAAAAGTAAATCGGATGTTTACACATGTTGCAATGTCACCCGCCTGTTGCAACTGCTAGAAGGGACGTGAGGGTCAGGCGAGGCGCAGACGCCATGTGGGGTCGGCCGGGGGCTAGACGCTGCATGGGGTCGGGTGGGCGCAGACACCGCGTCAGGCTGGCGTAGGGACAAAGCACATGCACAGACATCCGGACGTGCGCGTCTGTCCAAAGCCCTGTTCGTTTGGACTTGTTTGGCTTATAAGCCGTACTTTTTCGGCCAACGAACAATATTTTTCTCTCACACCAAATCAGCCAACGGTATTTTCCATGACTTATTAGCCAAACAAGTCCAAACAAACGAGGCGCAAATGTCTAAGCGCTGGCACTGCCGTTAGCGAAAGCAAAACAGCCCCGAGTCAACGTCAGTAATTGCAGTACAGAGGACTCGAGACTTCCAAGAGCAGTACTATCCGCTGTCGGCATCGGCGTTGCCTTTTTCCGGTGAGAAGTGAGAACCATTGCTGTTTTGAAACGTTCCCTCGCGCGCCATTATTTTATCTGCGGCAGCGGCAGCGGTAGCGGTAGTCGGCCGGTACCGAGCTCACCAACCTTTCGGCTTTCGCGTGGGATCTCCCTAGCCGCCCACCGCCGTCTTCGTGAGTTGCCGCGCGCTTCCTTTATAAGCAGGCTGCTGTCTCGCAGCTTCGCACGGGAGGACGCGGAGCAGGAGGGCTGGGCACCGAGCGGTCTACGCTCAAGCAGAGAGAAAAAGCGCCAGAGCGAAGAGAAACGCAGCTCCCTTGGCAGACAGCAGCTCCCAGCTCGTACCCGTCTCCAAGAGCTGCCTCGAGCTTCGGCCGCAGTCGCAAGCTGGTAGCCGCAGACTCCTGATCGATCGGCATGGATGCGGGGGACACCATGGAGAGGGGCGTGCGTGCTCCGCTCCGGCCTAAGGTAAAAAAGTTCCTGAGCTCTTTCGTTCGCTCACATGGAGTAGAGATAGGCTTCGATCGCATCAGTGAACGAGGAATTACTCTCCATTTTTTTTGTCGCTCCATTTCTAGAATGATAGGTCGTGACGCGTGGAGTGATCGATGCTGGTGTCGAATGCAACGTTTCTCAAAGAACATGGCAGCTAGGAGGACTTGGTCATGGGGATTGGGATGAGGATCGGACATTGGGAGGCGGTAGCTCTCTAGCTGTCTATCAGCCGTGCACTATTAACATAGTATAGACCAAGTCTATAATAAAAATAGATTAAAGCCATGTTTGATCCATGCGGCTAATCTTCCATGCGGCTAAACTTTAGCATAGGGCTAAAGATTAGCCCTTAGAATGAAGATGCTGAAGATTAGCCCATAAGGTTGTTTTGATCCAGGGGCTAAAGACTAGTCATGTACCCTACCATGATCCATTTGCCCCTAATTAATACACATGCACAACCATGTCTTTTTTCCCGCAGGACCGCTTTTAGCCCTCTTTAGCCTATCTTAGAGGGGCTAATGAAAAGAGGTGTGCTAAAGTTTAGCCCCCACTTTTAGCCCTCCTATTTAGATCTACGAGGGTTATAAGATGACTAATAGAGATGGGCTAAACTTTAGCCTATGGATCAGGCCTAAGTCATTGAAGTGATTGATAGTTGCGGTATACCTACAATGGTACAGACAATTAAACAACCGGAGAAGGTTGGACGAACTGACTGAGGGTTTGGACAAATATGCAGACGCACTGATCTTCTCGTCCTCACTTAACAATAGCCCTTATTTTCCCCGAGACAAGCACAAATGCACATGGAACGATACACACAGTGGATCATACATGTTGTACAGCTTCACCCCCTAAGTTTTTTGGAACGGCTAATTGTCCTCTTCGCCGATCTCCAGTTGCTTCTTTGTCCTCCTTGGCACGGCCTCTCGCCGTCACACAGCATGTGCATGATTTGATCTCCTTCGAGCTTCAAAAGGATTATAGGGATGGTCTGACTCTGACAGTTGCCACGGTGCAAGGCAGTAGTGGGAACTGGGAAGATGGTTGGCAAAGAAGTCGTCAACTATATGGCCCCTGTTTGGATCCTATGGTCTTGAGGCTCCAAACAGGAGGTCCAAAGTGATGCCTAAAATTTAGACCATCTCATAAAACTTTAGACCACACAAGTGAGCTAAAGTGGTATAAGGTTTTAGTCCTCAATTTAGTCAACTAAAGTTTAAACATGAGAATCCAAACAGGTCCTATGACGGTGTGGATGGACGGTGAGTGATGATCGGTGGGGTGTCACGCTTTGTAACCGCTAGTGATTGGGGGAGACAGTTAGGGACTCAAGATAGGTTTCTGGTGCGCTTGATGCACTGCACCGACCAACATGGCAACGTATATGTCCTAGTCAAACAAGACCATTTGTATGGGTGTGGGCTCGTAGCGGCTTCAGTCGGGAGTGAGGGCTGCGTTATGCTATAGCATTGAAGGCTAATCAAGGTAGATACCTAGTCTATTTTGGTAGAATTTCTTTGTAAACAACTTCATTTGAGAAGCCAGAGAAACCATGTTTAGATGGCTCCACGGTACCCTTCTATTAAGAAAACGACCTTTTCGTTTCAGTTTCTTTCACAGAGCCATTTCATGTCTAGCATTTGGCGGGGCTTCACCCAAGAAGTTAGAGAAGCAAGAGCCGAAATCCCTTGAGATGTCCTGCCAAAGATAGCCTAATTCGTGCTATTACGTGGGCTAAAATATTATGAAGCACAACTATTAGAAGGGCTAGAACATTATGAGGCATAGCTATTAGAAGTTTATGTATAATATAAATATGGCATATATTGTTCAAAAAACGCTGATCTTTGCACTCACTTTTTATTCGTTTTCTAACATAATAATTAAAGATATACTTTATGATATTCACATCTGGTTGTGATAAATTTATCAATTATGGTACATGTTTTCATCTATATTTATAGTTTTCTCTGCTTTTGCATCGCACGTCTATGTGTATTCAACATGTTCTTAGTTGAAAACTTAGCTCTACTTGTAGCCCATGCATGGCCATAGCTAAAATTTATTAATTGCTATGGTTTTTATCCATAATTTGAGTTGAAACTCTAGTGATCATTGTACCTCCTGTTCAAACTCTTATTTTTTTTGCATTATTTTAAAAATTATTATCATTCATTTACTATACTCTTACTTATTACAATGGCACAAACAGATATTTTGGTGCTCTACATGTTAAACTTCTCTGTTAAAGGATTATGTGTGTTGTACTTGTTTGTAAAAATAGAATGAACTTTGGCTGAAACTGGCTGAAAAACACTGTTCCGGCTGAATTGTTGTGAGAGAAAAATACTGTTCTGGCTGAAAAAACAAGCCGAACAGGCCAAATTTAAGACAAGCGAACGGGGCCTAAATTATCAATGTTATAATATTTTAGCCAAAATATATAAATTTATATAAAGTAACAATTTACATAAAATTGTCATTATGAAAAACTTAATATAATTAAAATGTTGTTCATATCATTGGTATGTAGTTTGTTAAACTACATAAATATATAGTCCAGCTGCACGAAACCTATCAGTATTTTATACGGAACACATTTGTCGGTGTTTCGAGTAAACACCAACGAGTAAATTTGTGTTATTGCGCGTCTGGCCCAGATGGTGTGCTAAAAAGACACAAGGTTTATACTGGTTCGGGCAGAATGTCCCTACGTCCAGTTCATGGCTGCTGCTCGTGTTATTTGCATCGAAAGGTTCATAGTAGGGGTTACAAACGGGCGAGAGAGAGACATGTCCCAAGTCTCTGATGGAAAGGTCGAATGGGTGCTGAGAGCTTGGTTGCTGCTCAGCTATGTGTGATGTGATGCGCAATATGTTTTTTTCGATCCATCCCCTTAGTGGGGTTCCCTGCCTCCCCTTTTATAGGCCAATGGAGAGCAGTGTTTACAGATGGGAGAAAAGAGTAAAACGAGAGGCAAAGAAAGTCTTTCAAGGACGCCGGGTCTTCCTTTTCCTCTGTGCGGGCTCCGCTGACATGGCAGGTGGCGGCAAGGATTACTCCATGTCGGGCGCATTGCCGCTGATCCTGACAGAGCTACGCTGGGCGTCTGTCCGCTGATAATGTCATGTCCTGACGTTGCCAGTGGGTCGTCACGTCCCATCCCGCACCGGCGGACGACGCGGCGGACCAGGGTGCTGATCAGCGGCCACACGGGGAACAGGCAACACAGTGAGTCAGTGACTGCACGTCCATTACTGTGGGTGATGCGAGTTTTCTTCTGGACCGTAGCAGTTGTCGTTACCTTCCATGAGGATCCGTGCCCGAGGGCTAATGATGGCGCCCACAACACTATAGGGCAAATATTGGCGCCTACAACACTGTTTGGGCTCTGACATGCCTGGAAGGTCGTAAAGCACCCTCATAGCATGGCCTGACGGTACTGTCCTGCAGGGATGCAGGATACGGTCCTCGGTATTGCGGTTGACTTTGAGCGTCTTGCCTTATCTATTTTGTGCGTTGTTGTAAAGGAGTCGCGGCGCGGAGACATCGGGCGAGGTGGAGCCAGCCCTCGGACACCGGGCGAGGCGGAAACAGCCTTCAGACGTCGGGTGAGGCGGAGCCAGCCCTCGGGGGTCGAACGAGGCGGAGACAACCCTCAGGGGTCAGACGAGGCAGAGCCTGCCCTCGGGGGTCGGACGAGGTGGAGCCAGCCCTCGGACATCGGGCAAGGCGGTGCTAACCCTCGGGGTCGGACGAGGCGGAGCCACCCCTCGGGGTTGGACGAGGCGGAGCCAACTCTCGGGAGCCAGCCGAGGTCGAGCCGACCCTCGGGGGCCGGACGAGGCGGAGCCCGTGGCCTTGGTGGCTGGATGAGGCGGTGCCTAGCAAGAGGTGCAGTCGTGCTCCTGATGCTGGGACGAATCAATGTTGACGGGCAGTAACTCCTCTTCTTTGGATACCCTAGTATTAGTCCCCGACAACATTCTGAACTCCTGGCATCTAGCAATAAATTTATATAAAGTAACAATTTGATGATTGCTAAACTACATAAATATATATTTATGGCTGATGCATGTATTTGTGTACTTGATTTGCATGGTGGCACACAACACCTATGCTTACTTTGAGATATTTTTTTAATATGTTAATAATGTTGAGGTCAGTATTTAGAGTTTAGAAACATATATAGACGTAATTTGTGGTTAGTTATTTTTAATAATACATAGGTGAATAATTTAGATGCCCATTTAAAGGATTGCAAAGATTATCTATATAATGAAAAGGTAGGTAATTTAGATATAAATGTAGTGGGTTACTTACTGTTTATAATGATAGTGGTCTGTAACGTTGATGAGAATTTTACGTGTTACTTTAGATTATCTTTCTATGCCATTGGTAGGTAATTCAAATGGAAATTTATGGGGTTTTAGATTATCTTCCATAATGGCATAGATGAGTGATCTATATACTCTTATAAAGCTAAATCTCACTAGCTATTTCTCTCAACATGCAAGCTATCCACCTCATCAGTCTACTATCGGATGCATTTATGGTCAACTAGCATTTGCAATTATGATCTACATCTCAGCAAGACACATCATCCACTAACGTGCATTTAGTTGTCTATATCAACGTGCCACGTCATCCACTATCATTAACTTATAATTGTTTATCCCTTTGTATATTCCAAATCATCAGCAATTTCCGCGGCAACAGGGTATGCTTCAGTTTAGATGTAAGTTTACGGGTTACTCTATGTTATTTTTCAAAATGATAAATATGGTTGATTTTTAGGAAAGCTAAATATCTCGTGGCTTTTGTCGTCAATGGTGATTAGAGTACCAAATTAATTGAATACTTGTTTCTAATTTTTATGAAAAATTTAAGATATATCTTTTCTTTGGTATCTCATATAGTATTAACATGAGTCTATACGGAGGCTCCAATTGTTTATGATGATTTCTTACATTTATGTTTTTTATGCGTCTATGAGGACATAGAGCCTACATTATAGGCCTCCAACTAGTAGTAATAGTGAGAAGAGGGAAGGACTGGTCTTGGTGGCCGGCCATCGCCCTACAATTGACACTACTAACGCTTGTACGCTCTTTTGCTTGTAGCCGCTCGCTCTTCCGTCAGGCCTGAGACGCTCTCCTTCCCTGGGCACGCCACGCCTGCCGACACCCTGCACGCCGCGCTCCCCCTTCCTGATCACTCCACACCGGCTGGCATCCTTCACGCCGGATCGTCAGCGATCAATTGGAGCGAGGAGCCATGAAGACATGGAAAAGGTAAATTCTTTTTAGTCTCGATCATCGTGTTCAACTAATCAATTTAGTACTCATTTTGTGGAGGATATCTTGTTAAACCAGTCAAGTTTCATGGCAGAATACTCACTGTTAAATAACTCAACAATTGCTAAAGTGTAGAGTGCTGTCATGGTTGATATCCTGGATCCTAGCTATTCATGACAGATCCAAGAGTAATAAAAAGAGTTTGGCATCTGCATCATACTACTATTGGATCTGTCCATGACTTCTTTTTTCTTGTAAAACATGCACATTGTCGTTGTTCGAAAAAACAAATATGCAGACTTTCTTCCAGTGACAATTCGTACAATTTAACCCATTGCAGACTCAGGGGCCAGAGACTCAGGACGACAACATGCAAGTGCCGCTCCTTAATGATAAAAATTGCACCGGCAGCAAGGCGCCATTGGTAGTTCTCGGTGAGGAGAGCTCCATGTTCTGATTTTTCTTTTCGGAAAACAGGTTAGGTTTGAGCCTGTAGTCCTGTACTAACCGCTGTAGTGTGGCGCTGCTTCTGCATTCAGGGTTCGAGTGCTTGGAGAGCACAGCGTTCAATGGCATCTCGACCAACCTGGTGATGTACCTGGAGACCGTCCTCCACGGCAGCAACGTGGCCAGCGCCTCCAACGTCACCATGTGGTTCGGCACTAGCTACATGATACCAGTCTTCGGCGCCATCATCGCCGACGCCTTCTGGGGCAACTACAACACCATCCTCGTCTCCCTCGCCATCTACCTTCTTGTATGTACACGCCCTGCCTCTTTTTTTAATTCTCTCCCAGCCGTCGCATCCGGCGCTACCTAGCTGATTCTGTCTGCGTGCGCCACCTGCAGGGGATGATTCTGGTGACCTTATCGGCGTTCCTGCCGACGGCTACGGTGCTCGGCGGCTCCTCGGTGTTCGGCGCGCACACTGTGGCGTTCGTGGGGCTTTACCTCGTCGCGATCGGGAGCGGCGGGTGCGGTCGTCGCTGCTGCCGTTCGGCGCGGAGCAGTTCGACGACGACAATGTGGTGGACCGCGAGAACAAGATGTCCTTCTTCAGCTGGTTCTACCTCTGCGTCGACTTTGGCCCGATCGTCTCCGGCCTGTTCATCGTGTGGATCCAGGAGAACGTCAGCTGGGGCCTCGGCTTCGGCATCGCTACCGCCTGCATCGCGCTGGCCTTCGGCGCCTTCGTGCTCGCCACGCCCATGTACAAGCGCCCGATGCCCACCGCCAAGGTATGCACCGACTCTAGCTAGCGTTGGACCCACAGCCCAAAATCGCGCGCGGCGCACTGACTATTTCTTGTTGCTTGACGAGGCGGCGGCCGTCATCTCCGACTCCGAGACGGGCTTGAAGGAGATATCAGAGGAGGCGGCGGGCTCGTCGCAGAAGCTCCGCGCCGCGACGAAGGCAGAGGAGTTCAAGATCCTGCTGGGGCTGCTGCCCATCTGGGCGACCAGCATCATCGTCTCCTCGGCGTACACGCAGATGAACACCACCTTCATCCAGCAGGGCAGCGCCATGAACGTGTCCGTCCTGTCGGTGCAGGTGCCACCGGCGTCGATGGGCTCGTTCGAGGTGGTCTGCGTCCTCCTATGGGTGCTGCTCTACGGCCAGGTGATCGTGCCCGCGCTGCGGGGATGCGGGTTCTCGTTCGGCGGCGACGGCGAACCGTCCCAGCTGCAGCGCATGGGCGCCGGCCGGCTCATCATGGCCCTGGCCATGGCGGTCGCGGCGCTCGTGGAGACGAAGCGGCTCGGCAGCGCGGCGCGCGGGGAGGAGATCGCCATCGCGTGGCAGATCCCACAGTACTTCTTCCTGGCCGGCGCGGAGGTGCTCTGCTACATCGCGCAGCTGGAGTTCTTCTACGAAGAGGCGCCGGACACCATGAAGAGCATGTGCACGTCGCTCGCGCTGCTCACCATCGCGTTGGGCAGCTACCTCAGCTCCTTCATCTACGCTATCGTGGCAGCATTCACGGCCACGGCGGACAGTCCCGGCGGGTGGATCTCGGACAACCTCAACCAGGGCCATCTCGACTACTTCTTCTGGACCATGGCCGCCATTTGCACGCTCAACTTCGTCGTGTACAGCGTGTTCGCCGGGAACTACAAGCCCAAGAGTCAAGACTATGCTCTCATGACGTGACTATAAACAGCTCTGCTCCCTTTCTCGTCTGGTAGATTTGTCTCGACTCCTTTGTTGCACCTTTGCCAATTTGTGATTTGTGAAGGGTCATTTGCGAGTTCTGGTTCAACGGCTAGTGCATCTCTGTCAACAGGAATTTGTACAACATATGTATTGTATCAACAAAATGCAGGATTTCCCCCTTTTTGCATTTTTTGCCCCGTTTACGAGAATGGAAACTGCACAACGTTTTTTTTCCTGAAAAATTCCTTGGATTCTTTCTCATATAGTTGAAATTACATCGTTAAAAAATGGGTTAATTAGAAGGGTCCATGCTTTCTTTTTGAAAGACCCCGTTGCCCGAATTTTTTATATTTTAGCCTTTTTTTTTGAAAGTTTCTCACAAATAGATTCCTGGCGGAAAGAATTCAGAAAATAGACCATTTGCTCGGCGCCATCGATGCTGGCGCCGAGTTTGGCGCTAGCGTCCCTGGCGCCGAGCTCCTAGGCTCGGTAGATGGCATGGCAGGGAGTTCGACGCCAAGATCTTGGCGCCGAGCTCGGCGTCAGAGTGACTGGCGCCGAGCTCCCTGCCATTTAACCCCAGCTCAACCTTTCTGTCCGAGCGTTCTTCCTCTTCTTTCTCCTCACTCGGGTTTTTTCTCTCCCCACTTCACCATACCTCACGAATCGGCATATTGGACCTTGAAAGCTTTGATTTGATCCGTAGATCTTCGAGAGCGAGGTATCCTCGCTCCCCTCCTAGTTTTTTTTCGCATCGATTCGGCATATATTAGTCGAATTTTTTAACGTAATAATCGTCATCACTTAGGGTTTCATTCTATCCCTCAATATATGTATTATACAACCGTAGGATGATACCAAGGCGTGAAAAAAGCTAGCAAACCTAGACGCATGTAGTTATGTTATGGGTTCATTGTTGTGCATCAAATGGGAAACCCTATGTTTAGGGTTTAATATTAACTGCTTTCGGTTCTTAGAACAAAATTGATTATATTGTAGTTATGGTTCTTATTGACATTTATTTGTGATGTTTTGATTTATGTTTGTTAAATTACATCTGTTTTGTTAGATGCAAGAAATGTTTCGGGAGGAGTTTTGGTGAAAACGGGGTCGTCCTCGAGAATTATACCCCGACGCATCTAGCAAAGATGTCCCCGTTCCTCCTGACCTCACTGTCCCTAACTGTGACTATGGTTTCTCGGCCCATGTTTTTCAATCGAAATACCCAGACACGGCGACGCATTGCTTCTACACATGCAGTCGTTTTAATGTAAGAAATTATTTGCACTATCCTTTTTTCTTTATTTGTGTAAGTATGCTACTAATATTTTGTTGAAATCTCGTTGTGTAGGACCATGAGAGGTGCTTTTTCTTTCAGTGGATCGACGGTGCAGACAAGTTTGATCCTAGGTACCTCCTTTTCGACGATTGGTTTAGAGGGAGACATCCACGTGAGCACTTCAAGCGGTGGGTTCCACCCCCTACCCTCCGCCAATGTCAGCTAAGGAGAAGCACCTAGCCGCAGTTAGACGACTCGAGGAACCTTCTCTGTGCGATTGTGGAGATCGAGCTATGATAAACCCTGAGAATACGTTGGAGTTTATGTGTCCAAACAAGCATGAAGTAAGTGCAAAGTATATGTGTTGAAATGTTGAGCTATATGTGTTCATGTATTAATGTCTACTTATTTAGGTGTTTTCAATGGCGAAGTGTCGTTTCAAAGAGTGGTTGTATGGTCCTAAGAACCAATGGCCGGAAGAACCGCGAAAGGTTAAGAAAAAAAAGAAAGAAAGGGTAATTTACAAAGCATCTCCTGTCATGTGCGAATGTGGTGTTAAATCCAACTATGGCCTAGTCCCTTCGGAGCTTGGAATAGACCATTATTGCGGCCATATGGTTGAGTATGATGAGGTTGGTTATTTTTATGGTAAACATAAAATCGTATTTTGTTTCTTTTGCTAAGACATATATGATATAATTTTCTATTTGAACAGAGCACTAGGAAATGCAGGTGGGAATGTTATGATGGTCAAGCTAAGTTTTTGGATGAACTGAAGAAGAGGCAAGTAATTGCACGGAAGGGGGGATATGGACCTGACTACGTCAACCTATTCGTTAAACATCACAAAGAAAAGATGCGTGAGTTTGCTAGACAGCGCGGTATTTGTTACCCGATCGATGTTGGCTTAACAAATGGGGATTGGAGAGACGGATGACGTTAGAGGAGGAGAGGGCAAGGAATGAGGCAAGGGAGGAGACAAGAGTACAGATGCAGGTCTTGAACGAGCATGTTGTTGCATTATGTGCCAGTGAGTGCTTGAAAGCATTTTTTTTTCGTTGCCTGATTTTAAATGTAATATAATCGCATTGATAATTGATTGCATTTCATAAATGAAGGGATTGGTTGTAGCGTGGAACATGCCGCAGAGCTGGCTCGTGCAAGGTATGAGGAGAAGAAGTTAGATGAGCATAGATCTCAAGTTGGTCGCACCATTCAATCACCGATTGTGTTGTCTGATGAGGGGGATGAGGATGAGGACGACACTGGCAGACTAAGTGAGCTCATTGCTCTAGCAGAGGCAGGCTTGCAGGCGCAGGAGGCTGAGGACGATACTGACAGACTGAGAGAGCTCATCGCTCTAGCAGAGGCGGGGTTGTAGGTGGAGGAGGCTGAGGAAGACACTGGCAGACTGAGCGAGCTCATTGGGCTAGCAGAGATGGGCTTACAGGCGGAGGAGGATGACGACGCGTTCTTCACTTAGGCCGCAGCGGCCGTAGATGAAGCGGAGGCCGCTTACTACAGGTGACAGGCAGGTCAGAGCAACGTAGGTGAGCCTAGCCACAGCAACAAGGTTGTAGTAGAGGACTGGTACTCGGATGATGAGTTGCTTACTGAGTACGTTTCAGACTGAGGATTTGGAAGTGCATTTGCCCCTATGTTTATTGTCGGCACGTACTTCTAGTATTAATATGTTGTGTAATGTGCCATAGTATTGAACTTTTCATTATGTGGTTGTTTTCATTATTTATGATCTTAATATTCCGCTTAATGATACAGACGTATTGAAATGTGAACACGGGCTGCAAAAAAACCTAACGACGTACGGCATTATATAATTCAACACACGAAACATATGAAATGGCATGTGAGAACATGTACCGAACCTAGGTACAGAGTTTCCTTCGACTAAACCTAACATGCCTTAGATAATTAAACCAAACAACAAACACATAGATGTGGCATGTAAAAAAGATAAAGTCATCCTAGTAGTGTGGCCACATATCAAATTGTGTTGCACCTTCTCCATAGTAGCCTCCCGTTGTTGGTGGTGGTGGTGGCGGGGGTGATGGGGGAGGCCCTTGTTCTTGTGGTTAGGGCAGGCACAATATGGATCATTGCAGAGAGCCTCCTGTGAATTGGCACCATTGTTGTTGTTGTCCTATCCGTCGTCTTTGTAACCGCTGCTAACTTCCCTTTCTAGATCGAAGATACGGTCCTATAGGTAGTAGATGCACTCCGCATACGGATAAATAGGTCGAGGATCGACCCACCTACTGAACCCACAGTTTTCTTCGGCCAAGGAAGACTACAATACGTATGTCGTGTAAGTTATATACAAGAGAAACATATTGAAGAAACAAATAGTAATAGCAATTACCCATGCTCGCGGGTATTTGAAGAAACGATGACCTCCATCTATTCCCTCGGTGAACATCTGCACTAGGCAGTCCTCACCATGCATGCATTTTGGCCACTCTTCTTTCTTTTCATCGTATCCTCTCAGTGGTGCCTCTTTGATAAAATCATTTTTGCTCTCAACTGGGAACCTCTCATAAAGAGCTTCCTCAAAGAAATCGGGACCAAGAGGACCCTCCCACCTAATGGTAGTTCCTTTCCCCTTTCCTCTCCCTCTGGATGACCCTCCAGACAATTACTTATTCATTTCTAAGTTCATGTTTCATTGTATATTGAAATTCTAACTCATTCACTTTTTTTCTAGGATGGAGCAATTCCACCTGCTCGACCCGACGTACGAGGCGACCCACCAAGGACGTCTCATAGCGCTGGGGTAGGTAATAATCTATAAGTTTTGTTCAAAATTTGTTGAGCATACATGTGTTCGTGAAGTAACATGAGACTATGTTTTATTCGATGCAGGATCTTCCGCTCCTTCGTCCTAGAACCCACATTGGGTTCTTAGACATGCGGTACGATGACAGGTACACTCCTTTCCTGCAAAGAGCTGGCCTGGATGTCATCTCTTTTCAGGTTCATCATGGGTTGCCCAAGTTCAACTCAGCGGCCATAATTGCGTTGGTTGACAGATATTAAATTGAATCATTGCCTCCATTCATAGCCATTTGTTCATGCGATTGACTTTTTGACAAGTAATACTGCTTTGTCTTAAATATAGGTGGCGGCCAGAGACTCACAGCTTCCACCTACCTTTCGGGGAGATGACAGTCATGCTTCAGGACTATCAGAAGATGTTAAGCCTAAGGATTCACGGCAACCCAGTCACCGGGCAGTGCAGGTCAGAGGGCTGGAGAGCACGAGTGGAGGCCGTCCTTGGGCGTGAGCTTGGCAAGCAAGTGGCTCGCACTTCTGGAGTTCCCATCTCCTGGCTACGGGAAGAGTTCACACAGTGTCCCGAGGAGGCAGATGAGGAGACAGTTGGGTACTACTACAGGGCGTGGATCCTACACCTATTTGACAGCGTTCTCTTCCCCGACGCCATGGGTGACAGTGCGTCCTAGATGTGGATCCACTGCCTCAGTGACTGAGACCAGGCGGGTCACTACAGCTAGGGCTCTGTAGTCTTGTGTTTTCTATACCGGCAGCTGTGCGAGGGGTGTCGTCAGTCTTCGTCCAACCCGTCACTTGGTGGATGCACGTACCTGTTATAGCTGTGGATGTGGGCTCATCATCCAGTTGGCCGTCCTGAGGTTCTGGCTCATCGTGAGTGGTTCCAATGTCAGCCTCCAAGTCGGCAACC